GTGAGTGAGTGAGTGAGTGTACACTCACCTAGTTGTGCCTGCAGGATCAAGTGCTGGCTCTTGGATCCCGCCTTTCTAGCGGACAGGTGTGTATTTACTATTTGTATCTGCAGAATCGAGCTATTAGATCTTGGACCCCGCCTTTCTAAGCCATTTATTTTTCCTTCTATTATGTCTTCTACAAATGTTTCTCTTACACACAAGCATCACCAGGAAGCAGCCCTGAGTACTGCTCAGTACTCACTTCCCCCTTCAGAGCAGGAGAGATCCCTGAAATAGAGGGAATACAGAGAACATATACGACACGCATTGACGAGATAAAACACCTAAATTATTGGGATCGTCTCAAAGCTCTCCAAATGTACTCACTAGAAAGAAGACGAGAGAGATATCAAATAATATACACCTGGAAGATACTGGAGGGCCAGGTCCCAAATTTACACAGTAAAATAACAACATACTGGAGTGAACGATATGGAAGAAAATGCAGAACAGAACTCGTGAAGAACAGAAGTGCCATAGGCACAATCAGAGAACACTGTATAAACATCAGAGGTCCACGGTTGTTCAACGTCCTCTCAGCGACTATTAGAAATATTGCCGGAACAACCGTGGACATCTTCAAGAGGAAACTAGATAGTTTTCTTGAAAGAGTGCCGGACCAACCGGGCTGTGGTGGATATGTGGGCCTGCGGGCCGCTCCAAGCAACAGCCTGGTGGACCAAACTCTCACAAGTCCAGCCTGGCCTCTGGCCGGGCTTGGGGAGTAGAAGAACTCCCAGAACCCCATCAAGCAGGTATATGTGGGCTTGCGGGCCACTCCAAGCATCAGCCTGGTGGACCAAACTCTCACAAGTCAAGCCTGGCCTCGGGCCGGGCTTGGGGAGTAGAACAACTCCCAGAACCCCATCAAGCAGGTATAATCCTGAATAATTTGTTACTACAGCCTGATTGATCACACATTTTGGAGAGATAATTAAAAAAAAAAGATCCTCGCAGCAACAGTTTGTTCGTGTTCCAACAACAACAATTTCTGGGACCAACAGGTCCCAGAAATTGTTCTTAACGAACACATACATTCACATGTTCTTCATGAACAACTAGACACGTATGAACATGACAATGGCAACTAACGATATGTTGCATGTTAGCGAGATGACCGTCACAACAACGACCTCGCTACACACATCACCGCGCCCTTCACTGGTCCCTCGGGTGCTGTGAAGGGGGTGGAGGGTCCACAGGGCCCGGGGAGAGAAGAGTGAAGGGGGTGGAGGGTCCACAGGGCCCGGGGAGGGAAGAGTGAAGGGGGTGGAGGGTCCACAGGGCCCGGGGAGGGAAGAGTGAAGGGGGTGGAGGGTCCACAGGGCCCGGGGAGGGAAGAGTGAAGGGGGTGGAGGGTCCACAGGGCCCGGGGAGGGAAGAGTGAAGGGGGTGGAGGGTCCACAGGGCCCGGGGAGGGAAGAGTGAAGGGGGTGGAGGGTCCACAGGGCCCGGGGAGGGAAGAGTGAAGGGGGTGGAGGGTCCACAGGGCCCGGGGAGGGAAGAGTGAAGGGGGTGGAGGGTCCACAGGGCCCGGGGAGAGAAGAGTGAAGGGAGTGGAGGGTCCACAGGGCCCGGGGAGGGATGAGTGAAGGGGGTGGAGGGTCCACAGGGCCCGGGGAGGGATGAGTGAAGGGGGTGGAGGGTCCACAGGCCCGGGGAGGGAAGAGTGAAGGGGGTGGAGGGTCCACAGGGCCCGGGGAGGGAAGAGTGAAGGGGGTGGAGGGTCCACAGGGCCCGGGGAGGGAAGAGTGAAGGGGGTGGAGGGTCCACAGGGCCCGGGGAGGGATGAGTGAAGGGGGTGGAGGGTCCACAGGGCCCGGGGAGGGAAGAGTGAAGGGGGTGGAGGGTCCACAGGGCCCGGGGAGGGAAGAGTGAAGGGGGTGGAGGGTCCACAGGGCCCGGGGAGGGAAGAGTGAAGGGGGTGGAGGGTCCACAGGGCCCGGGAGGGAAGAGTGAAGGGGGTGGAGGGTCCACAGGGCCCGGGGAGGGAAGAGTGAAGGGGGTGGAGGGTCCACAGGGCCCGGGGAGGGAAGAGTGAAGGGGGTGGAGGGTCCACAGGGCCCGGGGAGGGAAGAGTGAAGGGGGTGGAGGGTCCACAGGGCCCGGGGAGGGAAGAGTGAAGGGGGTGGAGGGTCCACAGGGCCCGGGGAGGGAAGAGTGAAGGGGGTGGAGGGAGATGAGTGGGAAGGTGCAAGAGGAACAGGCACATATAAAGCCCTACTCAAGAGGATGTTGCAAGCTCTGCTCGCCTTGTGACACACTCCGCCCTCTGCAACACTGCACTCAAGACACCCACCACTGTAACACACACACACCCTGTATCAACACACACACACACACACACACACACAGCATGTATCACACTACGTTAGAACATGCACACTGTTGTCTGTCCTGACAATCAAAATGTAACCAATGAAGGCAGTGTTTCCTTTCACCTGATGCCTCAGTTCACCCAGCAGTAAACAGGGACCCAGGAGTTAAGCAACTGTTGTGGTTGCATCCTGGGTGCATACCCTCTCCCTCCCCCCCCCCCCCCAGCTTATATGACCTTGAATGCCTCGACCCATTTAAGCAGCCATATATTAAGACGGATCGCCAACGGGTTACAAAATCTATTCCGAACGAACCCAAAGTAACCGAAGCGAGCTTAACCCAAAGGAAATGTATATGTTTATCTCTCAGAATGTTCGGTAAGATGTTTATTGTTTGTGATGTGTGTCTATGTATGTATTAACACGATGTACTGAACGGGGTGAGAATAGCTTGAGCTACCTCATCCCTTTGTGTGTGTATTTTACATCAATAAACTTATTTCAATTTCAGCTTAACCCAAGGTAACCCAACCTACCCTACACTAACCCATCCTACCCTGAGGATATACCCGTGTTTGCCCACCATAAAGCCATGCCTATTGCCGGCCCATTAGCGGCCTACAACTGAAGCAATTCGGACTTTCCCGGTAACGAATGTCAGACAAAAGAGCCTATTATCTTCACTCGGTCTGCAGCCAGGCCTACTGAAGACCTGAGGATATCTTGAAGTTATCTTGAGATGATTTCGGGGCTTAGTGTCCCTGCGGCCCGGTCGATTGAACGCCGACCTGCATGAAGCGAGACTAATTACACAACTAACTGTTGAATGATGCAATGAGGGAGCCACGCGCTGCACTTTAGGACTATAGTAGTTTATGCAGCGAGTGAGAGGCGGGCCCAAGGAGCTGAAGCTCAACCCAGGCAAGCACAGTTGAGAGAGTGCAAGTAAAGGAGATAGCTATCAGTGAGTGAGGAAAAGATAGCGTGGGACACCCACTTCTGTTATGACGTAATGGGTCTTACCTGGGAGTTTACACCTATTACCGCCCACTCTGGGTGGTATTGGGCCTGGTAGCCTGGTGGATAGCGCGCAGGACTCTTAATTCTGTGGCGCGGGTTCGAGTCCCGCACCAGGCAGAAACAAATGTGCAAAGTTTCTTTCACCCTGAATGCCCCTGTTACCTAGCAGTAAATAGGTACCTGGGAGTTAGTCAGCTGTCAAAGGCTGCTTCCTGGTGTGTGTGTGTGTGTGGTGGGAATAAAAAGTAGTTAGTAAACAGTTGATTGACAGTTGAGAGGCGGGCCGAAAGAGCAAAGCTCAACCCCCGCAAACACAACTAGGTGAGTACTCTCCTGGTATCCCACCCACCCCACCCCACCCACCCAGGTCTTGTACTCGCCTAGTGCTTGCGGGGGTTGAGCTCTGGCTCTTTGGTCCCGCCTCTCAACCGTCAAACAACTGGTGTACAGGGGCCAGATTCACGAAGCCTCTGACTAGATGATAATAGAGATATGATATTTACATAAATGATATGATAGAGCCCAGTAGGCTCAGGAACCTGGGGCCAGATTCACGAAGCAGTTACGCAAATACTTACGAACGTGTACATCTTTACTCGATCTTTGACGGCTTTGGTTACATTTATTAACCAAAGAATGAGAAAGAAAGAGAGAAAGAGAAAGAGAGGAGAGAGAAAGAGGGAGAAAGAGAGAGAGAGAGACAGATAGATGGGGAGATAATTCCACACAGTCACGCCTCAGGTCCGGGTGCCAATGAACAAGACAATGTCGCGGCCCCCCCCCCCCCCCATGCGAGCGCCCACATTAATATCCTTTTATCTTGACCGCCAAATGTTGCACAAAGGCCATTTTTGTCCCCCTCTGGTGACCGACGTAACACCTCGCCTTCCCTGCCGAAATAAACCTTCAGGACACTGCTTCCTGTCTCATTTCCCCTAGTCATTGTCAACGATAAAAACTGTCTTTCCTTAATGTCAAACCCTATAGAAAGTTCTTGGGAACCCCAGTGGGAACTATGGGGCCACTGGGGACCTCATGGGAACCCCAGTGGGAACTATGGGGCCACTGGGGACCTCATGGGAACCCCAGTGGGAACTATGGGGCCACTGGGGACCTCTTGGGAACCCCAGTGGGAACTATGGGGCCATTGGGGACCTCTTGGGAACCCCAGTGGGAACTATGGGGCCACTGGGGACCTCATGGGAACCCCAGTGGGAACTATGGGGCCACTGGGGACCTCATGGGAACCCCAGTGGGAACTATGGGGCCACTGGGGACCTCTTGGGAACCCCAGACAGGAGCCCCAAAGGGGTCCACCAACACTGACCTTGCCTAAGGGGAGGAGGGACTAGCCAGCAGTAATTACAGAGTACCCCAGCAGGTACTCACCTGGGGGAGACTATTTCAGCTGTGAGGTCTTCGGGTGTTTATATTGTAGTGGGCCCAGTCTCAGTCTCAAGGTACCCATCGTGTATGGGTGTACAGCCAGAGATGTTATCATTGTGTATGACAGCGTGTGTACTGGTGCAAGTGGGCGTGACTATACAACACCCACCTCCACCCACTGCACATCCACTGCCTGCAGTACAAGCCCCTCCTCTAACGCCCCACCACACAACGTCATCCCTTCACCGAAAAACTATCGCGAAGCGCAGCATCACACACCATGAGGGCGCCACGGACACCTTCACACACCATGAGGGCGCCACGGACACCTTCACACACCATGAGGGCGCCACGGACACCATCACACACCATGAGGGCGCCACGGACACCTTCACACACCATGAGGGCGCCACGGACACTTTCACACACCATGAGGGCGCCACGGACACCATCACACACCATGAGGGCGCCACGGACACCTTCACACACCATGAGGGCGCCACGGACACCTTCACACACCATGAGGGCGCCACGGACACCATCACACACCATGAGGGCGCCACGGACACCATCACACACCATGAGGGCGCCACGGACACCATCACACACCATGAGGGCGCCACGGACACCTTCACACACCATGAGGGCGCCACGGACACCTTCACACACCATGAGGGCGCCACGGACACCTTCACACACCATGAGGGCGCCACGGACACCTTCACACACCATGAGGGCGCCACGGACACCTTCACACACTCAGCACAACACGAGGAGACAAAAAACACAACTTGTAAGAACATTTTTCTTGTTAAAGTGATTAGCTGTTAATAGACTGTGTTCAGGTAGCGGAGCGCATTCATATCTGCACGAAATCTCTCCTGACAGCCAACTTTCTGCCTAAATGAAGCCGGCTTCACTGATGCAAGGGAAGAGAACTTAGCCTTACAGACAGGGAAGCATCTTGAAAACACTTAGACAGATCTTAACCGCCAGGTAAGGAACGGAGGAAGCTGTAAGGTTTAGCCTCTGTAGAACTAAGTAGCAAGATGCTGGGGGCGAGGGACACAGCAGGGATGGTACAGACCCAGTGGTAGGACCACTGGAGGAGCCGGTCGGCCGAGCGGACAGCACGCTGGACTTGTGATCCTGTGGTCCTGGGTTCGATCCCAGGCGTCGGCGAGAAACAATGGGCAGAGTTTATTTCACCCTATGCCCATGTTACCTAGCAGTAAAATAGGTACCTGGGTGTTAGTCAGCTGTCACGGGCTGCTTCCTGGGGGCCTGGTCGAGGACCGGGCCGCGGGGACACTAAAGCCCCGAAATCATCTCAAGATAACCTCAAGATAGGACCTCCTGGGTGACGCCGCCACTTTTAAAACCTCTTTTGGCAAATATAAAAAATATTGCACGAGCAAAGGCTGAAGTTTTGGAGAAAGAAAATAAAAAATGTTTTCTGCAGGGAGAGGCGAAGCAGTCGAATTATGCCGACACTGAGCACCTGCGGACCGTCGCCACCAACAGTCTTAACAATCAAGCCATGACCAGGAAAGTTTGGCCACCGAGTGACATGTAGGATTACAAGGATTTTCGCAATAAGATACGCAGTAATCCACCCTCCAACACTCCCTATCCTATTTATCAGAGAGAGATTTTTTCTTTACTGTGTTCGAACCCTCTCTCAGTGCTTAGCTGACGACCTTGGTTCATATCAAGGTCATCAACTTATCAACAGAAGCTAATCAACTGACCTGACATATTCTAATCTAACTTAACCTAAACTTATGTACAAAATTTGAATACATAAATTTATTTTTGTTAAGAAAAGCAGCGATCTAGAATAAAAATTAATGCGTCTTCAGGGTCGGACGCCGCTTGAACGAGCCTCGCCTGAAGACAGGTCGGTGTAAAGTATTTCTCATCCCCCTAACAAGGGGTTTCGAACCTGTAGTAACTACCATTTGCCCATTGTTTATGAGGACAGTGTGAGAAATGGAAGGGTAGAGGAGACACAGCCAATCATGCCGTCCCAATCCTAATCTTCAATAAGATTGGAGTGTGTGTGTATGCTGCCCTTTGTCTCGCGGGGCTCTCCCGTCCGTGCTATAGTGGATAGACAGGACGGATAGACAGAATTATATGCAGGCTAGGCTAGGCAAGGCTAGGTTAAGCTTGGCTAGGCTAGGCGACGTGAGATTTGGTTGCATTTGATTTATTTTCGGTTTTGTCTAGTTAGGATAAGTTTGGAAATTACTTGGTTAGGTTAATGTTTTGCTAGGTGTAGTTAGGATAGGCGTGGTTACATCTCGATAGGTTTGACCTGGTTAGGTTAACTTTGGTTAGACTCAGTACGTAGCATTTTGTTTAGGTAGGTTATGTATATAGGTTGGTTAGAGTGATTATCCTAGAATAGATGACACAATTTGGTTAGGTTCGGTTGAACGCAAACTACCATTTTCCACATTTTCATATTATATATATATATATATATATATATATATATATATATATATATATATATATATATATATATATATATATATATATATATATATATATATATATATATATATATATATATATATATATATATATATATATATATATATATATATCTTTATATATATATATATATTTATTTGATCCGTCAAGATAATACTCGTCTACTTCGCTACGCTTTAATATATATAAAACCATATTAGTAATTCAAAATAATGTAATTACATACCCAAAACATCAGTTTAATAACTTACCAAAGGTAACCGTTACTAATCCATATGTACAGAAATATGTGACACGTTACCACAAGGTAACGCTTACACACCTGAAACATGATATTATATTCAGCAACACTGACTTCCACACCTGACAACATCCTCGAACCCCGGTCCTTATTTTGGCTACATTACCTGGCACCCCCTTCCCCGCCTAGCCGTTCTTGAAAACACCACTCCCACGCCCACAAAACACCACTCCCACGCCCACAAAACAGCACTCCCACGCCCACAAAACACCACTCCCACGCCCACAAAACAGCACTCCCACGCCCACAAAACACCACTCCCACGCCCACAAAACACCACTCCCACGCCCACAAAACACCACTCCCACGCCCACAAAACACCACTCCCACGCCCACAAAACACCACTCCCACGCCCACAAAACACCACTCCCACGCCCACAAAACACCACTCCCACGCCCACAAAACACCACTCCCACGCCCACAAAACACCACTCCCACGCCCACAAAACACCACTCCCACGCCCACAAAACACCACTCCCACGCCCACAAAACACCACTCCCACGCCCACAAAACACCACTCCCACGCCCACAAAACACCACTCCCACGCCCACAAAACACCACTCCCACGCCCACAAAACACCACTCCCACGCCCACAAAACACCACTCCCACGCCCACAAAACACCACTCCCACGCCCACAAAACACCACTCCCACGCCCACAAAACACCACTCCCACGCCCACAAAACACCACTCCCACGCCCACAAAACACCACTCCCACGCCCACAAAACACCACTCCCACGCCTACAAAACACCACTCCCACGCCTACAAAACACCACTCCCACGCCCACAAAACACCACTCCCACGCCCACAAAACACCACTCCCACGCCCACAAAACACCACTCCCACGCCCACAAACCTCCCCCCCCCCGGTCCCGAGGCGACACCTGCTGCCCCCAGCAATGAATTATACCTGGATCTTACCTGAAGAAGGTTTCGCGAGTTGTTCTACTCCCGGAGCCCGGCCTGGGGCCAGGCATGACCTGAGGGTAACTTGGTCCACCAGGCTGTTGCTTGTAGCGGCCCGCAGGCCCACATACCTGGCCCAGGGAAGATTATGATCAACCACAGCACAGATCACAAAATCTCCTCCCTGCTTCTACTCTCTCAACTCTAGCTGGACGGTAGAGCGACGGTCTCGCTTCATGCAGGTCGGCGTTCAATCCCCGACTGTCTACAAGTGGTTGGGCATCATTCCTTTCCACCCCGTCCCATTCCAAACCCTTATCCCGACACCTTCCAAGTGCTATATAGTCGTAATGACTTGGCATTATCCCATGATGCAAAGAGAACACGGCACCGCTCCTGTGCCAGGTAAGTTACGGGCTCACCATAGCCCGTGCTACTTGGAAGTTGTTCCGAGTAGCTGTATCTATAACAACATCCCATGATGGTTCCCAAACTATTAACACACAGCATTTGCGTCTAAAATTAGTTGTGTGGTAAGTGGCGTATCCTGGAGGCGTGGGCGGGCGGGCGGCACCACCCTCTCACCCCGCCCACAGTGCCAGGCACTATGGGGTCCAGCACACTGCTCCGTGAAGCCCCCCTCACACTCTTCCTCCTCGTCCTCACACTTTTCATCCCCTTTTTAACAAAATGTAAATATGCTGGTTAGCATTGTTAATGTGTGGCCACGTCTGTGGTAGAAAATAATAATTGACCGTTATTTTTTATTATTAAGTTCTATCACCACTACAACCTGCTCATCCCAGTCACCATGATTGCTTTTTTGTAGAATGGCAATAGCAGAACTACTCTAACACCCTAACAACCTACCCTAATACCCTGCCCTAACACCCTGCCCTAACCTAACTATGCCTCGAGTAAGCAGGAAAGTCTTACAACCCAAATGTGAAAGCAAGTGCATTTCAAAGCGTCAAAATATTATTACATATTATATTGTATGGAGATCAGGGGGCCAGATTCACGAAGCACTTACGCAAGCACTTACGAACCTGTACATCTTTTCTCAATCTTTGGTGGCTTTGTTACGTTAGCACCTTGTATCTTGTACGTTGTGGCAAATCAAGAGTCCGGGTGGGTGGGTGTGCGGGTGTGTGTGTGGAGAGAGGCCAACAGGCGCCAGTCACCCACTCAACCACTATCCACACCCAAGCTTAATCCACTTCCAGACTCTTAATTTTTTCTCTCCCACTCACGCCTTCATTCAAGTTGTTTATCGTGAAATATAATATTTCAACTCATCAACTCGCTCTCTAATCTTCGTAAATCTTGAGGAGTGTGTCGTGTAGAAGCACGAGAATCTTAAGTCGTCACGATCAGTTCCTTACAACATATTGGTACAGTAGTTTAAGGTCAGTAATTGGGACCATTAAGGCTTTCTACGGTCGCAGTTCAATCCTGGAGTGAACAACAAACTCTGTCTCTTATGGGTCTTTAAATATTCTACAAGCTCTGTGCTTGTGATGTGAAGATCTCGGCTTGTTGAGGATCCCAACACTGCTGCTACACCTGTCTCAATAGGTTCCATACCTGTAAAAGCTGCCACCATAGTTCCTACACTACTGGCACACCTGTAGCAATAGGGTCCATACCTGTTGAACCTGTCACCATAGTTCCTCCACTACTGGTACACCTGTAGCAATAGGTTCCATACCTGTCAAAGCTGCCACCATAGTTCTTACACTACTGCCACACATGTAACAATAGGTTCCATACCTATCAAACCTGCCACCACAGTTCCTACACTACTGACAACTGTAGTAATAGGTTCCATACCTGTCAAACCTGTCACCATAGTTCCTCCACTACTGGTACACCTGTAGCAATAGGTTCCATACCTGTCAAAGCTGCCACCACAGTTCTTACACTACTGACACATCTGTCTCAACAGGTTCCAATGCTGCCACACCTGCTTCCAACACTACCAACACTTGCGCCACACCTGTCCCAACACCACATTGATTTCCTCGACCCCTGGCCAAAGTTTGGCCTTGGTAAACGGTGAAGACAGGAAAGGAATTAGCGCAGGAAGTTACGTGAATGACCAGGAAAGAAAGCAGCATTCAGGCACACACACAGCTTCAGGAATGAGGAAATTGGGAAAGCTGAGGATATAGGATGAGGGGAAATTTCACGAATGCACATACATCCAGGAGTCGTTATCGCGGCCAGTCAAGCGAGTCAATGACCCTGCGCATCGATTCTCTAAGAAATGGATGATTCTTAGAGAATCACCGTTTCTAATTCGATTAAATTTGATGATCACTTTCTAATTCGATTAAATCTCGTTAAAAAGCGAATCGAATCAGGGCCCCCAACTGGTGATAGCTTGGTCCAACAGGCTGTTGCTTGCAGCGGCCCGCAGGCCCCACATATCCACCGCTGCCAGACATTTCCTGTAGGCATATACACACAAGAGGAAAGCTTCACAAAATTGAAGAGGAGTAAGCGTGTTGATAGTCAGGCTGGCAGAACAGAGGAAGAAATACAAGCACAGAAACTTGGAATTAATTTCTCAAGCAAGGAAGCAAATGAGAATATGACCAGGGCCCAGATTCACGAAGCAGGTACGCAAGCACTTACGAACCTGGGGCCAGATTCACGAAGCACGTACGCAAGCACTTACGAACGTGTACATCTTTCCTCAATCTTTGACGGCTTTGGTTACATTTATTAAACAGTTTACAAGCACTTGCCAATCAACTGTTGTTATTGTTATAAACAGCCTCCTGGTGCTTCGGAGCTCATTAACTGTTTAATAATTGTAAACAAAGCCGCCAAAGATTGAGAAAAGATGGACAGGTTTGTAAGCGCTTGCGTACCTGCTTCGTGAATCTGGTCCCAGGAGTCAAACAGAGAATATGATGAACAGTCAAGCAGAGAATATGATGAACAATCAACCACATAACATGATGAACAATCAACCACATAACATGATGAACAGTCAAGCAGAGAATATGATGAACAATCAACCACATAACATGATGAACAATCAACCACATAACATGATGAACAATCAACCACATAACATGATGAACAGTCAACCACATAACATGATGAACAACCAACCACATAACATGACGAACAAGCACCTACACCTGGAGATCTCTACCAGTAATCTTCCTGCCTTACGGTACAAGTCACTTGGGCCCAGGAGCTGTAGTCCATACCTGTAAGGTGAAACAAGAGTAATTAATTAATTATTAATAACTATTATTTTGTTATTTAATAACTTTATTAACTAAGAGTTAAATGATTGCATAATCATTTAATCATTTTTGTGTTCAGTAATTTGTGTGTTCACAATCGGTTAAATTATTACATAATCAACACAATCGTGAAACGAGATGGTGAACATTTTGAACACCGACTCTCATAACATGGTGAACAAAGTTGATAATAAATCTATTGAAAGTTTGAACAAGCAACAGTGCAAGAATGTGTTGCTTAACTCACCAATGGATTCACTAAGTGTTCAGGTTACAGAGATATTAAATGAATGCAGAAGGCTCTTGCTGAATATATTGATGAGAGGCTTGTACTAAGGAAAACCTTTACTGTGGGCAGGTCCAAGACCAGCTATGTTACTGTGGGCAGGTCCAAGACCAGCTATGTTACTGTGGGCAGGTCCAAGACCAGCTATGTTGCTGTGGGCAGGTCCAAGACCAGCTATGTTGCTGTGGGCAGGCCCATTCAGGTGGGTGGAGTGTGTAGCATTTTGTACTGGTGTGGTAGGAGGTTGTGAAGCCAGGTACCGGTGGTGGTCAGAAGCCCACACCTGGTGCTGGTCAGAAGCCCCATCCCCCACACCTGGTGCTGGTACCGGTGAGAGAAGCCCCCCCACACACCTGCCACCGGGCACAGACCGGTACTCAAAGACACTCCCTTAGTCCACCATTGAAATATTCTCTTTCTTTAGTAACATGTTGACCGTCGAGTGAGCGACGTTTATGTCTCGAGAGAACCAGGTAAAGTTGCATATAGTTAGAGTCAGCCTATAAACTTTTACGAGCCATCTTTAAAGGCAGTTCAAAAAGTCATTTTTTCTTCAAGATGGGGATACCGGCCGGAGCTCGAGTCGACCCGGTCTCTTTGTCTTGTCTATGTCTGTCTCTCTCTTTGTGTGGCTGCTTCTCACTGTCTGTCTATCTGTCTCTTTCTCTCTGCCCGTCTTATCAGTTTCTATACAGGCCAGACGATGCTGCAAGAAGGCTATCATTCTATACTAACCACAGGGACCCAAGGGAGGTCTTTAAGCCGTTTCTTGCTGTTTCCGTCAAATTAATATAAGTAGAACATTTATGTTCATTTTCCCAAGATCACCGCATACTGTTTTATATTACGATAGTAAAAATAAAATAAAAAGTTTGGAAATTTTTCATAGTTATTTATTCTAAGGGGAGCAGGAGTGGAAAAAAAAACTTTAGATTTTATTTGATTGTTACCGCCGGAGGGGGCTAGTTTATTGTGCACCCCATACTCATCCTGTGAGCGGTAGCGCAAAATGGATTACAGAGGGCACAAAAGGTCTTCATCAGACCTCAACAGAGATTATTACTTGGGAGTGAATAGGAAACCATGGCATGCTGTTCTCTTGAAGTGTTGGCACCCCGCACTCAACCATTGTAGGCACTCAACTTTGGCTGAGTGAGGTAGCCGCACTCAACCAAAGTCGGGTTAGGCTACCCACAGTATCTGGCCTCCAATCAAGTTTGGTTTTTAACCTTTTTCTTGGACTCTGAACAAATTAAGTTCAAAAAGTACATTTTTGAAGGTACATCACTACATATTGGTCCATTCGACCAAAGAATTACTATAAGTACTATCATTTAAAGAGGATAGTACATCAGTTAGGTCTTGTTGAAGTGAGCATGCTGCTTATTAACTGCCACACACCACTGACGATCATATACACGGCAATAAGTTTAAATTACATATTT